AATATGTTGTGCATTTGGGAACATATAAAACACGGGATTGATTGATTATTGCTTACTTGTACCTTATTTGTGTTTGATTTTAATGATTTACCCAAATATTTGGTTTTGGATTCACATTGTTTACCGGTATCCAATAATGAGCTACAATCTTTCAAATTATCTGTATGATTTTTTATTGGAACTAACGCGGTGTCTGATTTTGGATTGGATGTGCTATCTATCTTAGTTTGGGACATGCCCACAGAGTTGCAAGAATTATTATCAGGATTATTTTTCGGTTTGTTGGATATTGAATTTGATAATAATTTGTGAGAATTCGGTATTAACTTATGCGTTTCTGAAATAATGACTTTTTTGTTATCGATAGTTTTATACTTAATGAATAGTGCAGGGGTAAACCGCACCTTAACCGGAGCATTGGTAGTCTTATGAAGTTTAATGGGTTCTCCATTTAGCATGTTGTCCACTTTTATGGGTTTTAGATTTTCACAACGTTTTTCCAGATGAGCATTGTTAGTATTTACGTTAAACGAATTCGGGAAAGGAAGATGATACAACAAATCGGCTTTTTTGATTAGAGCAGTATATAATTCCGATATTTCATGGATATAGGTTTGCACGGGTCCGAGATTATAAACTGCGGGTTTGTTAGATTCTTCGCTACTCGTGTCATCTAAAAATACCACGATTTCCGATTTATGTTCAACTATAAGATTTTGTACGTTAGATTGTACCCGTTTCAAATCTTCCAACCTGCATCTTAACTCGCCTATTTTTTGGTGGTTTGTAACTTCCGAGATGAACTCCGCATGTGAATGTATATCATTAACAAGAACGATAAATTTCCAGAGAGATTTGTTATTCGACATCGTCAGTACGAGAATAATGAACTACGCAAAATGGACAAAACTAAAGCCTACCTGAGTTTCTTGATGAATGACCCTCGATGATTTGCACTGCACTCGCGGCCGTTACCGATTTTTGAATACTTGATGATTTAGGTGGAATGTTGAATTCCAAGCCACGATGATTTATCGAACTACACTTATCACTTACTGATTTTCTGTCGCTGATCCGGCTCGAAGGACCATGTTAAGTTTTGATGGATGAAGAATAAGAGCAGCGGACAGTCGTTTTATAGTTTTATTAAACAAGTAACAAGTGTGTTCTAGAGCGAGTATGATATTATGACCGTTAGGTCCAGAGATTGAATATAAAGACTATGTTAACCGCTTGAAGAGTGCTTGAAGAGTTAATGATGAATAGTGAATGATGTTCCCTGTGTTTGAAGGTGGTGGTGGCCCTGGCTCCCACCCTTACGGGTGGAGAGGGGTGAAACAGGTCCCCGCCAGAGGCACTAACAATCATATAAAGTAAAATTTTTATTTAAAAAAAATTGTTACAAAAAAAAATGTATATTTGTCGGCTCACATAAAGTGCAGGTAATTGGTATGGGTGAGAATAATTAAGGAATTCATGAAACCGGAAGTCCATAGGGATTAAGCGAAAAAGGATATTTGACAAAATGTACGGCTTGGGTCATTTTTACCCACGCGCGACTGCTTATGGGTTAAGCAACGTCTCAAAATAAAACTCAAGATTGTGTAGGTCAAAAAATTTATATATATACATGATGAATAAAAAAATTGTTTATTGAGAGAAGGTCTGCTTATATAATTTTTTGTTATGTGTAGTTTGTTTCTTATTATTTTTACATTTAATTTTACCATAACAACGGAATCATATATAATAAATTTTTATTATTTATTTCAAAACCACCGTTGTTGTCCGTTTGCGACGACTTTTTAAACAAAAAGTGTGTTATGTTTACTATCTTTTCCAAGAATTCCAAACACGATGGAGAGAATAAAGCGCACAACAGGGATCCTGTATGAAAATTCATCGGACAAAGATTTTACCTTTTATTGTGAAAATTACATTTTTATACTATTTGTACAATTCTACCGGAAAAGCAGTCTTAAACAAGCAAAACCGGCAAAAATATTGTAACAAAATTGCCAAATTTCAAATATTTTAGACGTCAGTTGGGCGCCCTCATTCGGTCATAATGCGAACGACCACCCACGAAAACGGGTCACGAAAAACGGCGAGCTGTCTCTACTGATTGATATCTATACTGTGCGACAAACATTTATTTATGTAAGAAATTTAATTGCAAATAATTTAATCCGAATAACAAAACGATCGAACGCCGTATCTGTGGATCTTCAGTTGTATGTGAAATTGCAATTCTTAGCTAATGGAGGATTCCAGTGGTTAATCGGAAATACCACTCAAATTTTACAAGCGTCTGCAAGTAGCATCATCCATGATGTGGTAGATTCTCTTGTAGAAATTTCTGATCAGTTTATAAAATTTCCAAGCGTAGGGGAGAGTGGGGGAATTGGAGCCATGTAAGGAAAAGTAAAAAAAAAATACAGTTTCGGTTACAACCACAGTCATTTATAGACACTAATCAGTCTTTTAGTTACCCGTCTTTCAATAATTGCTAAAGAACATAAAAAAATACAGGCTTACATAGGTAAAATCACGTTTTTTATAAATCTTACTTTTGCTCCCATTACACCACGCATCGGGTAATGAGAGCCATGAAGCCTTCATATATGTAATGAGAGCCATAAAATAACACTAAACAAAATAAAATTATATTTTTACCTTTTAAAGAGGAACTTAAACAATCAAAATTTTTTAAGTATTCAACAAAACATAAATTAAAACATTTTCAATAAAAAAGTAATAACGAAAGGTATTTTAGGGATCTAAACAAAAATTGCAAAGATAATCTTTAGGGTGGTCGCAACCTGAACACTCAGAATGGGCCCATTTGCCACACGCTCTGCAACGGTACCATAGTTCTTCATCTTTACCAACATCGTTACAAATCATACATACATTTTCTTCCTCAGAGTATTCGGAATCATCATCACAAATATGATTTTCATCCATAGATGATTCGTCAGAAGTGCTGTCTTGGAACAAATATATATTTAGTTACTCTGTTTATATTTTTATGAGATAATTTATGTTTAACCTGTCTCTTATTCTTAGATTTATTTATTTGTATTTTCTTTGATTTATTCCTATTCATCACTCTTTTGTTCTTTTTCTCCTTCTTCTCCTCGAAAACTTCCTTCATAGGGGTGCTAGTCAAAACTTCCGAATGTTGTTTGTTTCTGTTACCTACCTTTTGTTGATTTTGCTGATGTGTTTGGGGGAGGACTTAAAACATTTAAGATATGGCGAAACTTGTGGAAGGTTGTGCCGAATCTCTTCTCTGCACATCATGTTGTGATGATTGGTCCCTGGCGGGTTGTTGAGAGGTGGTTGTTGTTTGCAGCGCCTCTTGAGCGGAAGACACTGGTTGTGAAGTAACTGTAGCAGTTGTTTCCGAAAGACTAACAGTGTTTACCACGTTAGTTGTGTTGTCATTACTTTCGTTCTGGCCAAGTTGAACAAAATCTTCATCTGAAAAAACAGATGGGTCCATAGGAAACATTCCAGTAGTTTTAAAGCCAGATATTCCCTTGTCAATAGATGCTATCTTTGAGTAAGCTTTATTAAAAAGTCCAGCTATTTCGTATGGAGTTATTTTAACCATGTTTCTAGATTTCATGTACATATCGCATTCCTTTTTGTAAGCTGTTTTTTAGTGGACCAAAAACCGTTACATCTAAAGGTTGTAGACGATGTGACGAATGCGGAGGAATACTCAACATAGTTATATAATTCTTTTTGGCCATCTCATAGGCTTCCAATTGTAAAATAGGTTTGTACTTAACATGTGTTTCTCTTCATATTTTTTTTTTATATTTGGGGTGTAAAAGCATGCAGTTAAGAGTTGCATGCTAATTTGGGGCTCGTAAAAATATATATTTCCCAGAAACTGGGGAATGGCCTATGTCCTTTCACACGCCTACTAATGGCCTGCGGTGCAGGGGTGCAGGTGGTCCAGCGACTTACACTTGAGCGAAACAAATCTGAGATTATCGCAGTCGCAGGCGAAAACAGAAACCATATCGGTGACCCAAAAAAAATAGACCAGATTGGGGTTGATTGGTTGGCTGTGTTTCTGTTGAGAGGGTGTAACTAAAAAGGCCTGGATAAAGATTACAGTTTTAAAACGGACGCGTACCGATTAAGACGAATTTAACAGGTCCATGGTACGGTTGATCGAAAAGTGTTGAGGTGAGTGTTATCACTGAGTTATCGGTTCTTGAGGGTGTGGTGATGTGAGCGAGATTTCACAAGGGTGTAATCCGTACTGCTAATCATAATTAAATCTAATTGGATAATCTGCAATAATTCGGTGAGTCCGTTGTTTATCATTACTGCTGTATTTGACCTGATTATTGATAAGTGGTACCGAGTCAGTTGTCAAATAATGTTAACAGAAATTGAGAGAAATTGAGAATATAATAATCGGTGAAATGAGCCTTGACATGTCGAGCTAACCCAGTAAACCTTTTTATGTGTCTGAAATGTGTCAAAAACAATCATTCAGAAACATGAAACGTTTCTCACAGAGCCTGGACACATTTCTGGAACATCCCGGCAACCAAAAATGTCCTACCCTTATTATGTTTCATTTGAAACGTTTCATGTGAAACCTCTTTGAAACATTTCATGTGAAACGTTTTTAAAACAGCTTTGAAACATCTTGTATAAAACATCTTTTTAGGTATCAAGAATGTTTCACCAAGAAATTAATACCTGTATATTTTTAATAGCTATGCTATAATTTAATACTAGACATATATACATATGTGTATGTGGATTATATTATCATATATACTTACCTACTGAAATTTGGTTTGGGGTTCGAAATACGGGCTTCTTTTATCACGACCTCAACAAAATATTATTTTTTAATATCTTTTAGTAGAATTCATTAAATCCACAAACATACATAAATAACTAAATAAAAAATTCTTTTAATAAATAAAATAAACACTGAATAATACTACTCAATTTTTTGGAATATGTATTTATTACATATATGATATGGTAATTTTAAACAAAAGTAACTTACAAAGTGCACAGTTAAAATAAAACAAAATACAAAAAATATAAAAAAATACTGACAGGAAGTTAAAGTTATACATACAACTATTTCTCAAGTTTTCTCGTGAAGCGAAGATTTGCTTGTCTCAGCCATGTAGAAACAGTTAATTCAAATATTTTGTCGGTTAATAACGGAAAATTTTTTCGAACTGCATCTAAAATGTACTTTAAATCAATAAAAATAATAAACACATACATATTATTACTTTTTAGTACATCCATAATGATCAAGTTAGACACTTGAAAATTATTTTTTCTACCCAGCCAAGAGCATTTACGAGCCAATTTATCATCAAATATGCGGCGCAAACCCCTTTTTATATTTTCTTTAGTGGAGTTGCCTCCACATAAGCGGAAAATGTTGTCCTAATTATTTGATTTAAATTTTAAATATATACGTATGAACACATTAGATATTGCATATTTACCAGTTCTTTTCTGGCGTCCTCGCCAGATTTTAATCTTTCTTCGTATTCACATAACAGCCGGTACTTTGTAAAAGGTTGTATACATGTATTACTAATACTGTCAGTATTATGTAATGGGGTATGTGTAGGATCATTACTAATTTTTTGTAATAATCTTTTCACCATAATTTCTACCCGAGTGGTTTTTCTTATAATTTCATTTAGTTTGTCTACAATTTGATCTACAAATATAATAGCTATGTGTAATTTTCAGTTTCAATTTTATTTAAACTTACCATCAACATTACATGGTTCAGTAATGATTAAGGAGTCTTGTGGAGAAGTATTAACTTCTGAACCTAACGATACTACAAAATTAAAAACTTAAAGTACGACGTTTTGATATTGTAATCTACCTACAGGTCGCAGGTGAATCATTATTATTACGTTCCAAGCTTCTTACTGATACTAAAACAGAACAACAAATATATAAATGAACGATTAGATGTACAAGGCCGGCGAATAAATTTCGGACTTCAAATTTACTGTCACGTCAAAATTTGCATGTAGTTAAATTAGACTCATGACAATGAAATGACATTAGTGTCCGAAATTTATTGATTGGCACCGTACTCTATTAGTCATCTATCGTACAAGTATCACCAGAAGTAGTGGCAATGTCACCATAGGATTTGGCAAATACTAAAATCATGAAACATAAAAAATTACACAACACACTTCGTTTTTAACATACAAATATCATTTAGGGATCGTGAAGGCACTGTCGTAGCTGGCGAAGGTGGTGCTGAAACACAAACGGTTTTTTCCACACAATATAAAAATTAAAGCGACATACTTAAACTTTATGTACTATTTTACCTTTAATAATTTTTGGCGGAGGTGGAATTTGATCATCTTCCTCTTCTTCTAGTACATCAGTTATAAAATCCTTAAGACAAATTGCCTTTCGTTTGCGTTTCTTGGAACGAACTTCTTCTCCCTCTGACTCAGTTACCTTTTCATTTTTTTTTCTCAAAGGAAATAGCTTCCTTATATGATACTATAATTAAAATGTTAAAAACAGTACGTAACAACGCGAAAAAATATGCATACCGCTATTTTTAAGCATTACCCTTGCCGGCCAAACGTCCCATTGCTTTTATGGGGGAGTTGCATTTTTGATATGTTTTCGTATATTCCTCTTCGGCCAAAACGAAAATACTTCGTCGTTTTTGCTGAAGACCCAATTGTTGGGAATGCAGGATATTTCCCGATAATCGTCGTCCTTGGTGAATTCAACAACAGTCCACTGGAACGACAAATTAACGAGAGAGAACAAGCACTATTTTAGTGCTATAATGATTATTTCCATTTCTGATGAAACACCAATTGCTGTACGAATGATGTTTAAATATTATTAGTTGTAAGTAAATATCCCACAATCGTAGTTTTACTTCTGGGCTGATCTAAGTAGCAAATCAAATAAAAAGAAACGAAGACTAAAACGATAATTATAATGATAAGACTACTGTAAGTAGGAATTGTTAGCGTAAAAACTATTTCTTTCATCAGCATTATGAAATTTTAGCTGGTATTAAAAATGTAATTAATTTTATTTATGCCTTAAATAAACTTCGGCCAATATACTTTTTACAAATACTTAATAAATAACAGCAAAAGCATATATGGTTAACCGTAAAATCACAAAGACTTTACAACCTTAGTGATGCTGCTTAAAATTTTCTAAAATATTACAACAGTATGTTATAAATAGCTGCCCTAGTTTTTCGTGACACCAGTACAAATTTTAGTTCATAATTTTTTACTGCATACACACCAGTTTCGTCTTATACAAAATAAATTTATAATTAAAAGATAATTAGATTAACAAGTACGAACCTGATGAACGTGATTTATTGTTTCTCGTTATGCAATAGTGGTATAAAAACCAACGTTTCTTCATTGATGATATACTTCAGGCATTTTTGTTTAATATCGTCACACTGTATCTTACACAAATCTTGAGATAAATGGTTTTGTGTTGTTACTATATTAAAAAATTCTTGAGAATTGCAAGGTTCAGTGTACAATGATGATAGCGGATATAATTTTTTGCCATAAAGAAAAATGTTATTGTTGAAATTTTTAGCAATATACTTGACACAAAATATACTTGTTGCATTTCCGGAAGCGGCCACTGACCCTTTTGGGTATCTTTACCTGTTTTTGTAAATAGCTCTGTAATTTTAGTACTTCTGTAACCGTCCTACATTAAACATCAAAACCGAACGCTGTCCATTATTTCAATTATAACAAACAAAGGTCCTTCGAGCAATATCAAGGTACAATTCGGAAGACCATACATGGTCGTATCAACAATTACAAAAAACATTGGTCCTACGAACCGGAACCAGAACATTGGTCCATATCGAGCCGGGTTGGATCAAATCGCGCAGAAATACATTTCGCTAATCAACATCATTACATCATTATCATCAACTGGAAGCGACGGCAGCAGTGGGCAGCATTCCTACAAAAGGATCACCACCACGTTGCACCGAGTTGGAATCAACTTCAAATTTGGACAGCATCTTCGGCGGAGAGTTACCACCGCAATCAATCCCGCAGGACGGCAGGAGGAACACCATCTCCAGAACCAGAGTCAAGGTTAGTGGACTCCATCATTTCACTTCCTATCCAATCCATAATTCGAGAATTCGATAAGTGTCGATTTCGATTTCGCGATCAATAATACTGCATTTCGTTATTCGCTAATATGCCTCCCAAAATGATAGAAAAGTTACAGCACAGTAAGAATCAACAAAAAATAATCATTAACCAGCTCAATAGGTACGATAATTTCTTAAATAATGTTAACTCTGAACATGATGTTGTAGAACTTAAATACAGACTAACACGCATTAAGCCTTTATTAGACGAGTTAGATAAATTGCAAATAATTATCGAGTCATTAGAAAATTTCCCTACTGGCCAAACTGATGAAGAGAGCACTTCGTCAGAACCTCTTAGTGATCCCCGTGAACAATACGAATCTTTATATTATAGAGTAATCACACGCTCACAACATCTTATTTCCAAATTTCAACCCGATTCACGAAGATCGATATCACCAAATCCTAATTTACAACCTACTAATAATATTCAAGTTAAATTACCAACATTAGAAATTCCAAATTTTGATGGTGAAATAACACAGTGGCCTAATTTTTATAATACGTTTGAATCACTTATTCACGACAACAAAACATTAAGTGATGTCCAAAAATTACAATATTTAAAATCATGCCTTAAAAAAGAAGCTGGTAATATAATTTCCGATTTGTGTATCAACAATGAAAATTATAAAGTTGCTTTAGAATTATTAAAAGAACGCTATGAAAACAAAAATCTTTTAGTCAAAAATCACATGCGTGAATTGTTCAATTTACCTAATATTACAAAAGATTCTGCTAACACACTCCGCATGTTTACAGATAAATTAAATTCAAATTTGAAAGCTCTTGAAGCATTGAAATTAGAAGTTCAAAGTTGGGACCCAATCTTAATTTATCTAGTAACAACTAAATTCGATTTTATTACAACTAGAGAATGGGAAAATTCATTAGTAGGAACTGAATTGCCAACAATGGCTCAAATGAAAGCATTTTTAACGAAAAGGTATCAATTATTGGAGTCATTAGAATCCAATAAGTTATTTAAAACACAACAATTTAATCCAAAAACAAGGCCCGTCAACCACAAATCTGTTCATATCGCAAACAAGTATCAATTAAGTTGTTCTCACTGTAAGGGTAATCATTTTATTTATCATTGTGAAGAATTTTTAAAATTAGCTGTCAAGCAACGTCGGTCACAGATTAACAAATTAAAATTGTGCGTTAATTGCTTAAAATCGCATTCTTTAAATTCTTGCCGATCTTCTTATACTTGCAAAATATGTAAAGAAAAACATAATTCGCTTCTGCATTTTGACAATCCAACTGAACCTACAGTAGAACCTCAAACTAGCACCACTTTAACAAATTTCGGTTCGCAAGTAAAGGATGTTAAAGTACTGTTATCAACTGTACTTGTATACATAAAAGACAAGTATGATAATTATCATTTCTGTCGTGCCTTATTAGATGGAGGATCGGAGTCACATTTTATTACAAAATCTTTAGCTGATAGACTTGAATTGGATAACTTACCGACTAAGGTGCAAATTTCTGGAATTAACCCTCAGAATTCATCTCCTACAATTATTAACAATAGTGTAAACGTTACAATCAAGTCCAGAGTTAGTTCATTTACCACACAGCTGAATTGCTTAATTTTAGAGCAGATCACAAGAAACACCCCGCCATTCAATTTTTCGCATAAAATATTCAAAATTCCAAATAATATCCAGTTGGCGGATCCTGAATTTCATAAATCTAGACCTGTCGATTTGCTAATTAGCAACGAAGTTTTTTGGGAACTAATTTTAGCCGGTTCATTAAGTTTTGGTACAGATTTACCGTCCCTCCGAGAAACAAAACTGGGTTGGGTTTTCGGTGGTAAACTTAAAATTCCGGAAAGGATTAAACAGGTATCATGCAATGTGGCAGTTAATTCATTAGAAACTCAGGTAGCTAAATTGTGGCAAATTGAGGAAATACCCATGAGTAAGCCTCTCTCCAAGGAAGAACAATTATGCGAAAATCATTTTTCGGCAAACTTCAAACGAGATGTTTCCGGTAGGTTTATAGTAAAACTACCCTTTAAAGACTGCCACCTGGAGCCAGGTAATTCTTTCAACGGAATTCTTTCAAAATTTTACTCATTAGAAAGGCGGTTGGTGAAAGCTCCTAAGCTTCATAATGATTACAGTAAATTTATGACCGAATACATTGAACTGGTACACATGGAGGTAGTAAATACCCCAGACCCTCTGAAAGAAAATCGCCTTTATCTTAGTCACCATCCAGTAATAAAGGAAACAAGTATTAGCACCAAGGTGCGAGTGGTTTTCAACAGTTCTACAAGTTCATCCAATGGGGTTAATTTAAATCAATTACATAATTTATATTGGCCCACAACTCCTCAATATAATTTATCCGATGTTCCAGAAAGGAAAACTACACTGATTGCCGCACAAACGCACAGTGTAACTGATTATTCAATTTTATATAGGTTTTCCTCATTTAAGAAATTAATAACTATTGTAGCATGGATTTTGAGGTTCAAACACAATGCTCTGATAAAACAGACCCAGCTTAATCAACCTAAACACAACGCAAGATTACCTATGCAAAAACCGAAACCACTTACATTTGAGGAGATTGAAAATGCTAAGCGATGTATACTTAAACTGCTTCAGACACAAGTATTTTCTAGCGAAATTGCACAATTAACCAGTAACGGGCAGGTTAATAAACCAAGTAAGTTACTTTCATTAAACCCATTTTTAGATAACCATGGTCTAATCCGAGTAGGCGGCAGACTAGTTAATTCTGACTTACAAGAAACACAAAAACATCCTTATGTAATCCCAAGAAACCATCATATTACCAAAATAATAATAACAGACATACATAGGCAACTAAAACATGCAGGAAGTCAATGCACACTAGCCACTGTACGACAACAATTTTGGCCTTTGAGCGGGCGTAACGCCGTAAGGAGTGTTTTAAGGCAATGTGTCCCGTGTTTTAAGGCAAAACCTACTTCCCTTAATCAATTGATGGGTCATTTACCTAGAGCTCGAATACAACAAACAATTAGACCATTTTTCAATTGCGCAGTCGACTATGCTGGTCCCATTTTTATCAAAAATGGTTTTTTACGAACTTCAAAATCAATCAAATCATATATTGCTCTTTTTATCTGTTTGGCCACAAAGGCAATTCACATTGAATTAGTTTGCGATTGTTCAAGTCAAACATTTCTGAGTGCTCTTAATCGCATGGTAGCCCGTCGTGGCAAGGTTCTTAACATGTATTCGGACAATGCAACTAATTTTGTAGGCAGTAATAACGAATTAAGTAATTTATTTCAATCACAAGCTTTCGGTGAACTAACCAATAAATTAGAAAAGCAAAATCTTCACTGGCATTTTATACCAAGTAGATCCCCTCATATGGGCGGTTTATGGGAAGCGGGTATTAAGTCAGCAAAATACCACATTAGTCGAGTGACGAAAAACGCATTGCTGAATTACGATCAGTTTTATACCCTATTAGTTGAAATCGAAGCATGTTTGAATTCTCGTCCTTTGACACCCCTTTCAAATGACCCCAACGACCTATCACCTCTAACTCCTGGCCATTTCTTAATCGGGAGTCCACTAATTGCGTTGCCTCAAGAAACTTGGTCGATGTTCCATCCAATCGACTAAATCATTGGCAGCGCATTCAACAAATTAAACAGCATTTCTGGCGACGCTGGTCTTTAGAATATCTGAACGAGTTGCAACAACGCACGAAGTGGAAGGCGGCGTCGAAGGAAGAACTCCAACCGGGAGCACTCGTTGTGCTCAAGGAGGACAACCTGCCCCCGCTTGCGTGGAAGATGGGCCGAATTCAAGAGCTCCATCCGGGCAGTGACGGGCATGTGCGGGTAGTTTCCGTGATTATTGCACTCACATGTCACATGATGTCAACTGACCAATCAAACGCGTCAATATTTGTAAATTCAACCAATCAGCATACAATTACGTGATAATTGCACACTGTGCAATTACCACTACCGATAATTATCACTAGCCAGATGTGCCAACTATAAGATAAGCAAGTACCAGTTAATTGCAAAAAAAAACAAGAGGTTACTAACCAAATATTTAATTATGAAACTAAGAATTGTAATTAATTATGGTACAGTTGTAGTAATTTACAGGGGTTTGTGTGCTTGGTGAAGTAGTAACTATATTTTTAGACATTTGTACCAAAGCAGACGGTGCGCAATTTGTGGATTTGTTATTAGACTCTTCCATAGCCGTTGAGTTGGCGCGTAATTTGTCAATCATTTGATAATGATGATCTCCATCGAGCTGAAGGTATGGTTTGATGGAGAAAGTATTGGCATGACCGGTAATCTTTATAAGCTGTTCTTCACCGACTCCCGCTTTTGCAAGTTGCGACACTGCAGTTGACCGTAATGAATGATTACTAATCTTCTTTTTCTTTATGTCGATGCCTATTTCTTCTGCGGCGGTTCTTGTCCATTTCCCCATTTCATTCCTTCCAACGGGTGAATTTTTGAACCATCCTACAGAACTAGGTTCTCTCCATGCAGGATTTGGCGTTAAAAATAAACGATCGGTGGTTATATGTTTACCTCTCTTGCTCAGCATTTTTTTGTAGAGCCTTAAATAATAAAATAATTATTATTTTGTATTTGAAACAGTATTTAATTACCTAACAGGGCAAATTCTAGGATCTGTGGTGTTTGTTGCAAGCCATTTGCTGTCTGTTAATTTATGGCTACCTCCTTGAGCTGTTTTGGAAAAAATACAATTGTATTCTATTCGCCCCGTAGGCAAACCACAATTATCACTTTCTTCCTTAAAATGTTTGATAGTAACGTTAACACCTTCACATCCCCTCCAAGCTAATTCTAATCCAGCCACATAAAAAAACATTTTCTGTAAACCATCTGGCGTGTCTTCGTTATAAATCTTTAGAATCTTGTTGTATTCTTCTAGAGTCAAAATTGAGGAACTAGTTTTGCGTTTTTCCGGTTGTATTTGTAGGTTCCGGCGTTTTGCGTCGCGTGCATTTCTACTACCCTTGAATTCCAGGTCAACAAAAGGATCAAACTTTATACCAAATTTATTGAAATACAGTTCTTGCAACTGCTTTGCCGTTACATTCCACATCGTTTTTATTACTGCTTCTTTGTAGTCATTACCATCGACTTTTTTCATATTGTACCCCCAATCTTTGAGGATGAATGCTAGTTTTTCCGTGGAAGTGTTTCCATCAAAAACATATTTGCGTTCACCGCAAAACTTCTCAAATTGCCTCCAGATTGAATTTCGTGAGTTCTTCGTATTTAGCGGCGTAATGTTTGTAATAGAATCATCAATTTCTTTTGGCGTGTTACGACCAAAACGAAAATTGGACATGGTTTTTTAAACCCACACAAATTTTGCAAAATGGCTGTTCTTATTTACTTGCGTCGCCATAGTATCGCACACCAAACTACTTCGTAAATCATTATAAAATTATTTTTAAAATGTTTGTTCTTGCAATAATCTGTTGAATATATTGCGTGCATCACAATGAAATCGATAATTTTGAACAACAATAATCTCTCATGCTTGTTGCCTAAGAAAAATGCACTCGTGCTAAAGCACTCGTGCGTTTTCAATGCAACAAGCATTCGAGTTATTGTTGCTCAAAATTATCGATAACATTGCGATGCACTTAATATATTATAACTGAAAACAATTAGCGGTATAGTGAAGCGTGCAATAAACAAAGTGTGCGTTTTACCAATTGAATAGTGTTCACTTCTATTGTATATTTCATTTTTTTTCATTTGTCATGGTTTTTTCTTAATTGTACAGATTAATATTGAAGAACCCTTCAAGGCCGGCGGGATGTTGCATTTCCGGAAGCGGCCACTGACCCTTTTGGGTATCTTTACCTGTTTTTGTAAATAGCTCTGTAATTTTAGTACTTCTGTAACCGTCCTACATTAAACATCAAAACCGAACGCTGTCCATTATTTCAATTATAACAAACAAAGGTCCTTCGAGCAATATCAAGGTACAATTCGGAAGACCATACATGGTCGTATCAACAATTACAAAAAACATTGGTCCTACGAACCGGAACCAGAACAATACTGTTATCACTTAAAAGGACAAAGTTATCTTTGTCATTTATTATAATTTGAAAATTTTTCAATTTTAATTTCTTAAAGCATGTAATATTTTCATTCAGTTGATTTTCTACTTCATATTCTAGTTGGGGATAACTGACACCAGTCTTCTCATTTAATTGTAGTCTTTCGGTCAGCCTGCAAACAATTTGTTGTAATGGTCGACGTGAAGTTTTGACCATTTTTTTAATATTGTATAAATAATTCTCATATTTGAAAGCGCTAAATTCATCCAAATTACCATGAAGCAAGCAGTCATTTGGCAAATGTATTAAATTGTGTACATTATAAGAAACAAATTCCTTCCCATATAATGCACCAAAATTTTTTACAAAATAACGTAATAAATCACAAGCTGAGTTGTTATATTTAAGATACAATTCAGGTGAACACAGAAAACGAATAGCCGTGTGTAACGACATGAAATGTAAAAATTTGTCTCGGGGTAAAACATCCTTTAATATTATTGGTCCTGTATACAGCAACAGTTGTCTAAATTCTGTTGCTTTAAAACGATCGACTTCGAGAAGACTTCTAGGAGTTCTTGCAAATTCTATAGGTATAACTTTTTTAAGCTTCAAGATGTTTTTACATAAAATGGCCATTTTCGAGTCAGGAATTCTAACATCTTTTTTACCTTTCACCCAAAAAAGTACTAGCCGTTTCATCACACCTAAGCACACAAGATGTATGTAGTCCAAACATACGTTACTAACAAGTCCTACGTTTAAATTTTCAAGTGGACTATTATACAAATGAAAATCATCATCTTCTTTGTTTTTGAAGGAATCATCTGTGCGCAACGGAGAAACCAAACTCTGAAAAGTTACTCTGCCATTTATGTACTCGCCTTGATCAATACATTTCGTACAACCATGGTAGCCTGTGTGACCCTTGACACCTAAAATGAATGCCTTGGCAGGAGCATCGCAGATAATCTTAGAAATCCTAGGAAAAATTTTTGTTTTGCCAACCTCTAAACCATTTAGCTCTAAAAATTTGAATTCTTGGACAAAGTCATTTAAGAACTGACTAACATCGCTTGGTTTTTTCATACCGTGATATATTCCACAAATAAATGGAGGCGATAATCTTGACTCTATTGATAATAATATGGGCCAAAATTGACTAGTAGAGCTTTTAGTCAGTGGCAACCCATCTATGTTTAAACTGAGTTTTAAAATATCGTTCTCTTTTACTGTCTGGACATCAGTTAAATTATTTAAAATTCCACGCGCAACCCCGAAGTGATAATAATGTCCTTCAAGTACATCAATAATATTACATGATCTGGGCGTTTGCAATAGAGTTCTAGCGTTTTTGGGTAAATTGTAACCACCTTGTCTTAAAATTTGCAGCAAATCATTAATAGCTTGTTGAGAGAGCAATGTTCGGTATTGAAGTATCCAATTACGAATATCATTCACGAAAGTATTATTCGGGCGTTCATGAGCTGGATTTTCATGAGTGTCAAGAAATGGCAATTCATTATTAAGAGTAAAGTCAGATGTGAAGCTATTTATTTCTTGTGTTGATTTCTGCGGCGGCGAAAATCGCCGACGTTCACAATACGTGTCATCAACGGATGAGGCAACAGCAATACTGTAACAATTTGCCGATGGAATATTTTTTGCGGGATCAAGATGATTACACAATTGCACGTTGAATTTATTTTGGTGTTTTACACTGCAAATTTGGCTACTTATTTTAAATCAGTACTTGTACTCTTTGTGGATCCGTGGGTGTATGGCTTGCAAATATTGTTACGTACTAATCTTCGGAGATGCCGTTTACTGACCACAAGTTTATTTGTTCGATTAGAGAATAAGCTACTTACATGCCTTTCTTCAAGTAATTCTTTTTCCTCTTGCGACATGTTGTTCCGACATATATGTTGACGCTACAACTACGCAAATCACATATACATATGATGTACTAATAAAAATAGTACCTTTAATATACAGTAGGTTATTATACGTTAATACGATAAACTAATACCGATTCAAGAACCTTTATGGTACTTATTTTTTCACAAAACACGAACGTTTCGCGGGAATCCGTCGTTCTAGCACGATGCGCAATAACAAAATACTCCTCTGTCAAAATTGCAGTGCGCAAGCGCTCTGAAGAATGTTTTAAATGCGTCTCAAGAGGAACGTTTGAGAAACGTTTCAGCAAAAATGTGCCTGAAACGTTTCTATTTAGGTTGCACGTTTGTTTATGAAATGTTACACTGGAACGTTTCAAATTATACGCGTTTGGGATGTTTCGTAATGTTTCATAAATGTTTCGTGTTTACTGGGAATTTAATTAGCTGTCCACCCTCCTGTGTTACCTAACTGGCAACTCGGGGTAGTATCTGGGGCGGGTGAGGGCGCGTACTTTTCCCCCTTGCCATTGCACAGTCCGGTACTACCCGTTTTTGTGTGAACTATCTGTTGCTGCGGATAGCCTCCCGTTTGTGGCGGGGGAAGTGTCTGTTTGTGGCGGACAGAGTTGTCAGTCGGACATCTTGCGCAGATTGCATCTGGCAATCTTGGGGATCGATGGCTCACACCCCCCTTTGCAGTTTTCCAGGTTGAGTAATTGTTGATAAAACCGATTCACCTCGACACCGGCCTAACTGACAAGGAATTAATTGTGATTATCCAGATATCATCTCTGACGACTTAAAAGTGAGTTTATGATTTAATTATGTTCAATCCTGACATTTTAGTAAAGTTAGAAAAATGGTTATTGTTAAAAAAAAAAATGTTTCCATCGTAATAATAATTTCCTCTCCTACACAATGTAGCGTGACTATGATGATTGTCCATAATGAGCAAAATCTGTTTTTCTGTAGTAGGACTTGTAAATTTTATGAAATGTTCAAGCCATGTTATGAATATTTGCTCATTAGTCCACCCATTTTTTGAAAATGTATAAATATCTCCCGGTGGCCCATCACGTTCTAGCTGCGGAGAGTGTCTTTGTCGCGGAAAAATGAATAAAGGAGGCACATACATGCCTGTAGCACTCATTGCACAAATTGCTGTCACATTTTTGCCCCTCTCCCATGAAGTCGCTGCACCAACACGCTTCCGTCCTTTAAGAGCAATAATATTATCTGGCACATGAACTGTAGAAAATCCTGTTTCGTCCAAATTGAATCTGTTTTGGGGCTCAAAATTAAATTTTGTCATTACAGATTCCAGATTACTAAAGAAACGTGTGACTTCAGTCTTATTCAAGGCCAGAATCCTATTTATACTGGTCGCTTCAGGCTTTCTAATACTTAGTTCTTGATGTCGGTTCATGAATCCGTACAACCGATGTTTCCCAGCAATTTTTTTTTTAAGTTGTGCGTTGCTTTGGTGTACTTGCTGACGTAATCACTTCTTCTGTAAAGAAATTATGCTGTAATAATTTTGGCATCACATTACAAATCTCTCTTACGTTCTTCCGTATTTGTAGTAAGTGGCGTTGTGAACGGTGATGGTGGTGCAATAAGTTCAAACTGGTAAGTTGTATCTCCAAGGTCTTTATCGTGAGTTGAACACGATGGTGTGTATTCAATTGACTCAGATGCGTAAGAAGACCTCGAGGGAACTTCTATATCAAAGCCTTTTTTGATGCCTAGAAAAATATAAAATATAAATTTCATTAACACAATTTTTTTTTGCCTTCAATGCTGTCTATTCCTATATAAAAACAAAACAGTTCTTCCGATTTTGTCAATTTGTCCGCTGGGTTCTGGCCACCTCCTGTTTTCCGTGCTTCGCGACATAACTGATTCTCCTATTGTTTTGTGCGTGTTTATAAATCGCCAAATTTATTTTTCAGATCTTGTATAGATCTAAGCACAGGCGATACAGCGTTTACTTTTTCTGCAACAGCTGTCCATGCACGATCTCGAGTCGCTTGTGTAAAGATAGGCCCCTTGAGCTCACCAAATAGATATGTTTTCCGAGCAATTTAGTGTTTCTATTTCTGGGGACGTAAAATTCGGGTTGCGTTTTCTCGTTCACCGTCTTTTTCCACTCCAAGACCCATTTTTTTTATAATTCATTGTATTTGGCACTGTATAACAGTTACATGTTTGAAACTTTGAAGATGCTTTGAAGTTGTTTGAAATTTTATTTATCTGGTTTCCATGGATACATAGTAATCGGTACAATAAGGTCCGTTAGCTTGCTGGTAAGTTGCAATTTTTTCGTGAATTACTTTATCGAAATGTCGGTATCCACTTGCAAGTTGTTTGCAAGTTGCAATCCCGGTAACGGTTTTCAGACCGACTTTCGTGAATTCCCCCTACACAATTTGTAGAACCATTCACCTACTAGCTTCATAGCGTTTTCCACTTGCAGCACTAGTGCGCATTAGAGCAGATTTTTATGTTCCACTTGAAATTCGGTATCGCCCGAGTCGGGTGTACCATGTTCCACTTATCCACTTGCGGCCCTGTAATGTCATTTTCTGCACTGAATTCAGAAAAATCTACACCGGCTCCTAGACCTCGCGTAGCTCAGTGCTGTTTGAAGTATTACTGTCACTTGTCAGCCTGCT